TGTACATACTAAGCCAATAGTCTCATGAATATAACTGTTTTAAGATAAGTGAAATAACCATGTAAAGCTCCTTTAAAGAAAAACATTAAATCAGTTTATTCTATTTAACATACCTATATTTTACAATGTATTTTATAATCCATTAGTTATAACCCTAGAATTTACATAAACAATACAAGGTACCAAAGATTGAAGAAAAAGAAAACTTTCCAGAGAAAATATATTTTTTAAAAAAGAAAAAAAGCATTAAGATAATTATAATATAACTGGTATAAGGGAATGGCAAAAATCATGAAAATACCACAAAAATGTCTGAAGTTCTACATGCCACGCTGGAGATTCTTGCATTGAATATCCTGAAACTAAAGTTCCTCCTTTATCAAAGTTGTCTTAGTTCTCAGTGATCCTATGAAAACATGATTGTTTATAACTACAATTATTCAAAGATCTTCAAAAATAGAGAAACTAAAATTTTCCATTATTTTCAGTCCTCTTAGAAATACTGACTTTTAACAGCTATAGCTATAAAATGATGTCTGGAATCCAAAGCTAATCTTTTATCACAAAAGACTAATATTTTTGCATTTAACAAGCATTTACTGAAGGCCTTTCCAGGTCCAGGTGTTATGGTAGACACAAATCTGAAAGTAAATTTGCAAGTTTTCTCTTAAATAATGTATTGCTACCTCGAGGAAAATTTAAAAACTTTTAAGGTAAAACACCAAAATATCTTTCCCATTATGTTCATTAAAAATATATATGTATTTTTTAAACATATATGTATTTTAATGGCCTGAAGGCCAAAGTATTTTCTATGCTACTATACACATACATCCACACAAATACCTGTACACATGAACCAAATTTAGATTTAAAATTTTAGTAAACTCTGCCTCATATTCAGTATTTGATGCTCTTGCTCCAATATATTCTGAAAATCCTCAGGAATCTTACTGAAGGCCTAAAGGCGATTTTGTGAATATTAATGGCCTGAAGGCCAAAGTATTTTCTATGCCACTATACACATACACACAAATACCTGGACACATGAACCAAATTTAGATTTAAAATTTCTTTAGTAAACTCTGCCTCATATTCAGTATTTGGTGCTCTTGCTCCAATATATTCTGAAAATCCTTAGGAATCTTACTGAAGGCCTAAAGGCGATTTTGTGATGTCTTTGTGAAGAGTCTGCCTACCTCTATCTTGAGGCAGAGTGTGGCAGGCATATTCTTACAGAGTTAAAGAAAGGATAGGCCCCTCTGTAGACACTGGTGCCTCAGCATGCTTACTACTGGAGGCGTTTTCACTGTCTAATGAGAAGTCTGACCTTTTCTTCTTTCCCAGCTCCTTAAGCCTAGAGGTACTTCATGTTTGAATAATCAAATAATAAGTGACATCTAACATGTATGACAAACACTAAAACTTAAACTTCTTGTCCCCTGAAGACATTTTCTCATGTTTGTATGCCCAAATGTATTTCATCCAAAGAAAAACCATATACCCAGAAAGATTCCTTTCCTACCTCCTGAGTGTGTTCCTTGTAGACCTGCAGTGGCCCTGTGGCTTTGGCAGTGTCCCAGAGCTGCAGCGAGCCATCGCCACTACAGGTGACCAGGACATGTTCATTGTTCTCACTCCAGGTCACGTCAAACAAACCATCATTCCAGTCAAAGCTACATCAGGAAAATTAAAACGAAAAAATCTAGTTACATAGGCAGCTAAACATAAAATAACAATTTTACAGAATTTTTAAATTTATCACATTTTAACACATATTATCACACACGATCTTCACAGCCATGACAGATAAGTAGAGCAGCCACTTGTCATATGCAGACACAAGCTTAGAGAGGTTAAAAGAACAGCCCAGGTCAAACAGCTAGAAAACTGCAAAGTTGATTAAAATTAGGTTTCCCAACTAAATATACAGCACTATTTACATGAGGGCATGCCGCCGCCATACCTGGATGCTTGCTATTTTTGTGGTTCATAGGTGGGACCAGCAAGCACTTTTAAATACTAATTTAGACCAATAATTTCAACTTTTCCCACAAATCCTCACCTGAGCTAGGAGCGGGTGGTTATTTTCTGAAGGCATTTCCTTTCCTTTCTCTACATTTGACTAACACTGATGGAGGTGTTAATGAGTCCAACAGTCATACAGACAAGACATGCATGGAAAGAAAGGGAAGGAGGCACAGATAATCTACAAAATGGATAATTAGCTCCTGAGTGAGTAAAGCTAAACTACATTAAGAAGACGGCAAAGATAGAAACATCACACAACAGTATACTAACTAGTTCATATCTTCTTTATGTGTGTGTAAGTTTTATGATTTATAAACGGACATTAAGAGACAGGCGCTTTAGACAAAAAAATGACAATCAAACTTAATGGCAAAAACACATTCTACACTATGTAAATGCTGAAGTTACTTTTATATTGCAAATTTAAAAATTGGAAGAACTTTATTGATAAAAGATTCAACATCTAATTCTATCAAGTCTTTAATAGCAACAGAGAATACATATGTTAATAATTAGAGAGCCAACTTACCTTCTAAAAAGCCTAAGCCCAGATTCATTTTGATCCAATATTAGCAGAGTTCCACAGCCTAGGGAGAAAAAAATTTGAGGTCATGTGGTTGAACTTGCAGGGGGACCATAAGGTCGAGGAGGGATCAAGCACTATGTACTAATTTTACTACTACAAATTTCTCCCTAAAGTTATCGAGACATTATTTCAAAATGATCAGATCGTGCTCTCCATTGCCATCTTTCTATATCGTGCTTCAATCATTAAATATTAAACTTATCACCTCACCTATGTTTGGAATCCAAACACAGCCCTAACGGGAGAGAGATATTTGAGTTCATATTCTGGGGCTAGACATGTGTCAGACACATCAATCTTCCAAATAGGTATTATCCTCCCTGTTCACAAAGCACAAGCCTCAGGCTTAGAGACTGGAGGGGCTATGCTTCTTCTATTACAACACACTGCCTAACCAATAAATCTAAAATTTAAAACAAAATACCTGGTGAAATTTACCACATACTTGGTCGTAAAGTGCTGGACACAATACATGTTATTTACCAAAGTTGAATTATTTTATTAAGGGACCAGTGTATCTTAAAAAGTTATATGTTATAGGAACCAGGGAGAAAAAAACTCTGATTTTTTAAAAACTACAAACTCCTTTTAAGTTTTTTGAAGGATTTAAAATATCATCACAAACTTATAGGTCTTCGATCTAATCTTGTGGGCAAGGTTACATTCTCATTCCAGAGTAAATCTGTATAATCAAACAATCAAATCCGAGATGCAATTATTGTAAATGTGCAAGCGGTCAGAGCTAATGGTAAAAATATAAAGTAAATATTTCTCTCCTTCTGAATTTTAGAAATCATATTATTTTTTTGGCTGTAGGACCAAACGAAAACTATCAAGAAGCGACATGCAGTGACTTGTTTCACTGAAGTTCGGTGTGTAAATAATAGCTAGGATATGAATTTAAAGAAGAAAAATTAAGAATGGAACTCCGCCTTTTAATCTAGTTTATGACAAGAGACCAGTTAAACCTCAAACGAGTGTTTGCAAATGTCTGTATTCCTCCTAAAACAAAAGATGAGGGCAGAACTTGATTAATTTCATGATGGCAACTGCACAGGAGCATCCGATTTACGACAACCCGAAGGCAGACTGTAGGGAATGCGGGCCGATTAACAGATACTGGGGTGACCCAGAAGACGGTCTTCAAAATGCGGTTGGTCTGGACAGAAAGGTTGGAGGGGCCACAGAGGCTAAACCCACTCTCCATGGAAGCGTGTGCCTTAGGGCAGGGAGGGTCAGATAGCGGTGGACTCGATGTGCTCTTCAGAAATAAGGACATGGGCCACTAGGCACCTTCTATGCGCTACTTCCGCACCGTAACAGGAAAAAAAATTGACACTATCACTGTCTCTAGATACATTCCATACTCTGGGAAAAGGAGAGATCAGGAAGCGCCGGTTCCTCTGCTCCCCCCTGGCGTTCAGCTGTGGGGCAGTCTACAGTCTGAAGTGCTTTCCGAGGACCGGGAGAAGCCAGGACTCGGCTGGAACCCGCCCCCCGCCCAGACGGCGCGGCCCGGCCTCACCCGCGATGCCGTAGTGCTGCGCGGCGGCGCAGGCCAGGCGGCCGGGCAGGTAAGGGGAGAACTCGGCGGCATAGCCGTGACGGCCGGGCACTCGCAGCGTCCGCACCGCTCCGCCGGGCGCCGCGTTCATCCAGCCCACCACCTCCGGGCCTCGACGCCCGGCCGCCAAAGCCTCGCCGACTCGGAGGCGGACGGACCCAACTCCCCTAGAATAGTTAGAGACCCCGGAAGACGAAGAGGAAGTGAGGCGACGCGTTGTCCGTAATGCTGGATTTCTATTGGTCCGCAAATGAAATGGCATTGACGCCAACGGAATCCTTTTTTGTTTGGGGCAAAACAATCTGATTTGCGCCACCTGTAATGAACTACGTGTAACAGGGCAATGATTTGTGAGGTTGGGTGGTGATTTTGACATTTTGTATATTAGCCTCCACTGCGGGGCTATCTGGTTTTTATTAATTCATTGCCCAATATAACGAAGCAATATTATATCGGGCAGGAGTGAAACTAAGGAATTATAATAAGCAACTAAGTTTTTTTTTTTTTTTTTAATTCTCACTACATATATTGTATAGTCATCAGTGCTCAGATGTGGGGCTAATTAAGGAAAACTAAGGTTCGTTCATTCATTCAAACATTTACTAACCATATACTATGTGAAGGGTTACAATTTATAATTTATCTGCCAAAGACACTTTTGAGAGTGAAAGAGAGTGTAGATAATAATTGAGCCAGGTCAATGGGCACTCACCGAGCTGTATGAATAGTTAATCAAATGCCAAGTACAGTGCTAAGCACTTGGATTCACATATACTCTATGCCCTCAAGAGATTAGCCTAGCAGACATGTCGGCCGTTGAGTGTCATCAAAATACTGTGCTATGAAAAATACATATGAGTTGTTTTTTTTTTAAAGGAAATTGTCAGTGCTGGAAGATGGGGGAATGAGAGGAAAAGCTTAAGAAAGGAGGTATTGTTTGAGGTGAGTAAATGATGATGTCATTGTAGGAGTGGTAATAACATGAGCAACCCAAGAGAGCTAAAACGGCATGATCCATAACAATCGTGGCTGCTAGGACTCAGCCTGCCCAAGTAGAAGGAGTACCGGGAAGAATGTGTGCGCCATACCAAGTGAATTGGATTTATACTGTAATTTAAACAATGGAGAAACAGCAGAGTTTTCTAATGTGAGAAGTTAAATGACCAAGTTTTCATTTTAAAAGATCTGGGCAACACTAATCTGGTG